TTGAGAAAGAGGAACAGAGTTAGAGGTATCATACGCCCCGACTTCAAATGGTACATCAAAGGTAGACTAATAACCGAAACAGCGTGGTGCCAGCAAAAAAACAGACACATAGGTCGATGGAATAGAATCGAGACCGGAAATAAACCCACGCCTCTGTGGTCATACATTTAATGTATGACAAAGGAGGAAAAAAACGTTCAATGGGTGAAGACGGTCTCTTCAACGAATGGTGCTGGATAAACTGGACAGATGCGCGTGAAAAATAAAACTGGACCACCTTCTGACACCGTATCCAAGAACAAACTCGAAGTGGATTGAAGACTTAAATGTAAGACCCGAAACCATAAAACTCCTAGAAGGAAACACAGGTGGTAAACTCTCCGACACCGCTCTTAGTAACATTTTCTGATACGTCTCCTTGGGCAAGGGAACGACAACAAAAAAATAAACGGATGGGACTACATCAAACTAAAAAAGTTTTTGCACAGCAAAAGAAACCGTCAACAAAATGAAAATGCAACCTACTGAACGGCAGAAGATATTCATCTATGATACATGTGATCAGGGGTAATATCCAAAACTTGTAACGGACTCATACAGCTCAGTAATGGAAAATAAAACAATCCAATCAAAAACTGGGCAGAGGACCTGAATAGACGTGTCCTCCAAAGAGGACATATAGATGGCCAACAGACATATAAAAAGATGCTCAATGTCACTCGTCATCAGAGAAACGCAAATCAAAACCACGACGAGACATCGCTTCACACCGGTCACAATGGCTGTTATTGAAAATTCAACAAACGAGTGTTGGTGAGCATATGGAGGAAGGGGACTCTCATGCACTGCTGGTGGGACTGCAAAATGGTGCCGCCACTGTGGAAAACAGTCTGGAGGTCCCTCCCAGAATGAAAAAGAGAACTACCTGACAACCCAGCCATTCCAGTTCTGCATATTTATCCGAAAAAATCCAAAGCACTCGTTTGAAGAGACCTATTCACCTCTATGTTCACTGCAGTTCTATTTACAATTGCCAAAATGTGGAAGCAACCTAAGTGTCCACTGATAAATGAATAAAGAATATGAATATGTATATATATATATATGTGCATACATACATATATATAATAGAATATCACTCGGTGATAAAAAGGAATGAAATCCCGCCGTTTGCAAGAACGTGGATGGACTTGGTACTATATAAGTGAAATAAGTTAGAAAGAGCGACAAATACCACATGATTTTGCTTATATGTGGAAATTAAAAACAACCCACCAAAGGAACAAGCAAAACAAAACAGCGGACCCACAGGAGAGAGACGCATGGCCGCGAGAGGGGAGGGGTGAAGGGGACTCCGGTTTGGGACAGTGTGACAGCTTTTCGCGGGTGATCACATGGCAAGATATGCGAATGTCGAATCGCTACGTTGTACACCCCGAAACTAACGTGACATCCTGTGCCAACTACACTGTAACCAGAAATAACAGATGAAGACAGGGGGCGAATAGGGATGGCTGCAGACCAGCGTGCCTGATGCGCACACCCACGTGTGCACACGCGTGCGCACACCCACGCGGATCCCGAACAAAACGCCAGCAGGCGGAATCTGGCAACGTGTGGACAGAACCACGCGCCGTGCACGTGAGCCCGGGGTCTGCTGACAGGACCCCATCTCGGGAAGGTGCGCCCCGAGACAGGCGTGGCCGGGGGACCCCCACACCCGGCTGGAAAGAGGCCCCGACGGCCTGGGTCTGTCGGTCAGCTTGCTCTTCACAGCGCTGGTCGCTGTCCGCAGCCGCTCTCGGCCAGACACCGTCCTGCCCGGCGCGGGGCCCTGGCGGTGCGCGGGGTGTCGCTGCTCTGCCCTTACCCTCACCACGTCTGAAAAGCACTGACACGTATGCTCACGGGGACGCGGGTGTCACACTTCCATACGACGAGAGACCGTACCCCCCACGCCGCGCGGGTTCCCTTGGGAGAGCCCTGCTCTAGACGGCCCGCAGGGCGGTGATATTTACTGCCCTCGTCTCCCGAACCTGACCTTTCCCCCTGCCTCTCCCCTGGGACCTGAATGTCCAGACACCTGCGGGGCGTGCCCACCGTCCTCCACAGGCCAGCCGCGCGGCCCTGCTGCATCCCGCCGCCCAGGACAGAACCTGGCCGTCCCGTGCCCCCTGAGCGCCCTTCTCGCCACCTGTGCGGGACGCGGGCTCCGTCTGTTCCGGCCTCCGCGACAGCGCTGTGGCTCCTTCGCGAGGCACACAACACGGACGACTTAGCCACGTGTCTATCTATTTGCTATGGCCCGTTTCCTCCACGTGTCCCCTTGCTTTAGACGGAGGAGGCCACGTCCCTTTTCGTTACACCCCAGGCGCAATGCCCAGGACCGATGTTTAATAAGTAGGGGCAGGGTGAAGATGCAGTGTGGCCACCGTCCTGTCTCAAGGGGGTGTCCCTGATGGGCCCCCTAGAGGGTCTCCCTGCCTCTCCTCTCCCAGCTGCGCCCACCTCCAGGCTGATCTCTGCTTCTAGGTCACCTTCCCAAAGACACTGGCGACCCTGTCAGTCCCCGAGAGCCGGCAGGATGCCTCGTGGGCCTGGAAAGAACAGGGGGTCTCCCGTTCCAGTGAGTGTCCTTGGGCCTCAGCGGGACAGGCACGTGCGGTGGCCCTGCGGGGACATGGAGGGGCCAGGCGGCCAAACAGCCCACAGCAGTTTCCCCCGCGGACCTTCCCTCCAGGCACATGATGGGCGTTGCGCAATGTTTGCTGAACTCATTAGTGTGAGTCGCTTGCTCAACTCTCTGGCGTCCGGGGCCAGTGCGGGGGCCCGAGGCTCAGGAGCTGCCTGGGCGGGGGGCAGGGGCCGGAGGAGCCCGGAGTCACGTTCCAGGCGGGGGCCCTGGGCCTCCGCGCTGTGAGCGCTGCCCCGCTTCCTCTCCGAGTGCGAACCGGTGCCAGCACGGGCCCCTCCTCCTCCCGCGCCTGCCAAGGGCAGCCCACCCCACCGCCGCGCGATCTGCTCCCCATTAACGAGTCTGCAGCAGCCCAGCAGCCCACCAGCCGACCGCGGCCGGTGCAAGTCACGGCTTCGCCATGACCTTGCTGCGCCCCTGCAACTCGATCACAGGACCCCGACTCCAAGACCGGCCCTTCCTGCGTTTGCTGGCGGAGACATTCTGGAAACGTCAGGCACCGGCCCTGAGGGGGCTCGCTCCCCGTTTCAAATGGGGCCGGGCCTGGAGAAACCCAGCAAGCCTCATCTGTCCCCAGCGTTCTTGGGGCACCCCTGGAGCTCCGGCCCCAGATCGTGACCCCTGCATTAAGGAGGCTGCCGCATGAACACTGGCTGCTGCTTCTGCCCCGTGCAGTCTTCCGTCCTTGTCCTCACAGTCATGGGGGTCTGCTGTGTGGACAGCCACTTTCCTAGGTAGTCACCAAGCTACCAGCCGCCCCCCCTCACCTCCGTGACACATGCACAGGCGCACTCTGTCCCCGTCACGGTGGTCCCAAGTTGGACACTTTTCCCACCCCATCGTGGTGGGAACTGGAGCCTCTTCGGCAGGCTCCTCCTGGCCCGCTGAGGACACACACAGCTGGGCTCCGCGGCTGAGCACCCATGGGGCCCGCCCCGAGCTGTGCGCCGCAGCCAGCACCACTTCCAACGTTGTAAGGCCTCTGAGCACGCTGGCTCACAGAGGGCCACAGGCACCGGGACGCACGCCACAGCCCTCCTGTCACGCTGACGTGCGACGTGTGACAGGAGCTGGGGTCTGCCGTCGGCCACGGGCAATGTCACCGGCCTAGGGTCCAGCCCGGGTCAAGCTGCACCCTTGCCAGAGCCCTGAGAACTCACTGAGGCAGATGCATAATTTCGCAGTCATTGTGTTTTTGCTGCTGTTTGTACAGTGGCTTTTGTACTTTTCACATATAATTGTGCTCACGTTTGTAATTCCATTTCACGAATCTGTTAAACCCAGGAGCCTACACTATGAGGATGCGATTTCAATAACGTTACAAGGGCAAAGATTATGGTCTGTGGCCAAAGCTGAGCTGAGATAGATTTATTTCTTTGTTTGTTTGTTTATTTATTTTTAGGTGAGGCAGCCCTTGGTTGACCTCACAGATTGCAAGGACCTTGTAGTTTACAATCCCTTAATTTTTACGCCTACGGCATCCCGTCTTCCTAGGTGGTCTCCCATCCAAGTACTAACCAGGCCCGACCCTGCTTAACTTCCGAGATCAGACGGGATCCGGCTTGTTCAGGGTGGCAGGCCGTAGACTGAGCTGAGATTTAAGTAATAGGCTCAAATGTTTTCATGATTAAAAATACTTTAAATGAACTAAACGGTTAACCCAAATGTTTAAAAAACAATAAGTAACCACGGGGAAGAAAAAAAAAAGAAACTTAACAGATATACAACGTAACATGCGAGGATTATTTTTAAGAATGGGGTGATGAGTCGATCCGAGAGACATTCTTAGACAATAATAAAAACAACCAACGCAACCGACACGACTCTGAGTTGTTCCCAGAAAGACAGGCCTCCATCAATTACAAAAGAAAAGTGACAAGTGGGGAAAAATCCAACTGGGACATACCTGAGAAGCCTGCAGGAGTTTCGCCTGTGCGGCTGGGCGGGAAGCCTGCTAAAGGGGACGGGAGCGGACGATCCAGAGACCAGGAGCGGCAGAGCCCTTCCTGGCCTCTGCCCGAGGAAGGACCGACGAGGAAGGCCACGCAGCAGACAGCGGCAGAGACGTCCCGACAATACTGTAAGAAGCTTTGGGTTTCCAATGACAATAACCAGACTCCGGACGACATGTCTGAGAAGCCGTTGGCTGGAGGAAACCCAGGAAGGGCTGAGGGCCACACAGGCCCAGACCACAGGGTGACGGTTTGGCTCGGCCCGCTGAGGACTTTTCTGCAATGAAAAACACACAGCCACCAACGTGTCGCATCTGCTATTGTTGGCCATTCGAGCTTATGGGATAGAATCCATGGGGCTCACGTTAAAACAAACAAACAAACACGCCAGGTGTGGGTACGTCGCCAAGGTGGGACCAGTCGGTTGGTGTGAGATGACACTCCTACGTGGACACAGAGTGGGGGTCATCACCACATCGGGGGCAGAGGGTGCTGGGCCCACCGTGGAAAGGGACACCACGCCACTGAGTGTTAATAAACACGGCAACCTTTGAATGACAGAACCTCAGTGGAAAAAATAAAGTGAAATCAAAATGACCCGAGGGACATGGAAATCCCAAGCCACTGGCACTGTCACCAGCGCAGTCTCTCCGGGGATGCTCCCTTGGCACACGGACTGAGGACACCGCCTTTCTGGGTCTGTGGCCCCTCAGGTTCGGCGGGCATGTGTCCGTGTCTCAAGCGGAGACACCCTTTACAGAGCTGTCCGCTTTGCCGAGACCACGCCGACTGCGCACTCCGAGCCAGCTCTGACACACACACAGGCAGGAGACCCAGGTGGGCGCTGGAGACCCAGGTGGCCGCGGCCGACCCAGGTGCACGCGGCAGACCCAGGTGGCCTTGGCACACCCAGTTGGGCGCAGGAGACCCAGGTGGGTGCGGCAGACCCAGGTGGGCGCAGGAGACCCAGGTGGGCGTGGCAGACCCAGGTGGGTGCAGGAGACCCAGGTGCACGCGGCAGACCCAGGTGGCCTTGGCACACCCAGTTGGGCGCAGGAGACCCAGGTGGGCGCAGGAGACCCAGGTGGGCGCGGGGGACCCAGGTGCGCGCGGCAGACCCAGGTGCACGCGGCAGACCCAGGTGCGCGCGGCAGACCCAGGTGGGCGCAGGAGACC